TTGGTATCAGAGCCTAACCCTGGCCGTGGTGTACCAACGAGGACGTCGGGCCCCTAAGGGGGGTGGATTGTAAGATCCCACATCGTCTAGGGAAGCGATCTTTATATGTCCTATCTCTACCTAGCACGAGGCCTTTTGGGAGCTCACTGGCTTTGGGTTCCATGGGAACTCCAAAGTTAAGCAAGTAGCGCACGAGAGCACTCCTAGGATGGGTGACCCATTGGGAAGTTCTTGTGTGAGTTTCCATAAACAAAACCGTGAGGACGTGGTCGGGGCCCAAAGCGGCCAATATCGTGCTACAGTGGTGGAGCAGGCCCGAGAAGTGGTCCTCCGGGCCAGGATGTGACAAGTACTATGAGTATTGACTTATGTGAGAGAAATAATCCAATTTCCTTTTTCCCTATTAGACTATTTTCTAGTTATTTATTATTGAAGAAATTAAGTATTATATCATATTGGAAAACTTTAGTTCCAGTTTCTAATTGACTAAAATCTTAGATTGAAGCTTTATTAATTTGAATATTTTGATTGAAAGACTAAATGTTAAATTTTAGTATATTAATTAAGAAATTTAATAACAAAAATGATTAAATCCTTCCTAAAAGTATGTAGAGATTAATACGAAATAGGAATTTTCAATTTTTTCTTCAAATAGGAATTGTGTGAAATCTGATCTGATTTTTTTTTTAAATGAAATGTTTTAATTTATTTTTAAATATTGATACATTTTAATTTAAAAAAGGGTACATTTTATTATAAAATATGGGTACATTACAAACAAACAAACAAACCAAAAAAAAAAAAAAAGTGAATAGAGTTTATATTAAGAAAATGGGTACGTTTTACATAAGAAATTTTTGGTACATTTTACATACATATAATAAAGTGGTACATTTTTTAAAGAAAATGAGCAGATTATAAAATAAATAATGGGTTTAAATAAAAGATTAAAAAAATTATAGGTACAAATGAGTTTAAAAATAGGGGCACAGAAAAAAAATTATATATATAGATACAAATTTAAACTAAAAAGATGGTTGGTTGAAAATAAAAAGTGAGTACAAATTAAAAATAGAAACATATGATACAAAATTCATCCATAAATATAAATATATCAAATGTATGTTTCTATTTAAAGTTGGAAACGTAAAGTTTGATATATTTATAAACCAAATGATATATGATGCAAAATTTAGCCATAAATATATATATATACACACACACACACACGCACATAAACTAAATGATATATGATACAAAATTACTTAAACATATGAACGTGCTCATTTACTTGAGCTTTTATAAATGCTAGATTTGAAAATTTGGGTGAGCTAAACTAAAAGTTGGGTGCTCATAAAGGTAAAAGAGTGTTTAAAATTAGATTTATGCCTGAGCGTTTGAAAATTAAGAAAGGGTACTTAGCCTGCTGAGGAGCCTGCCTAGACCGCCTAGGCACCCGCCTAGCCCGTCTAGACCCGCCTAGGTTGCGACTCACTTAGACAGAAAATAGATAACTTTCATTTTGCATTTTAATTTTTTTTCAATAACTTGTAAAAGACTTGTTGAATACTTAAATGAATAGACATTATATGTTTATTCCCCATGTTTTCACAATGTTCCAATACTTCATAATATATATGTCATTCTATTTTGTAGTTTATGATGTAATTTTGTATATTTTAAGTATAAAGAGACACTTATTTACACTAAATATAATAGATTTACTTAAATCCGCCTAGTTCGCCTAGTCGCCCGCTTAGCCACCTAGGCGCTAGGTCCCAACCCGTCGCCCGACTAGTTCCTAACGTCTTTTAGAATCTTGTAAAAAAGTAACTTTCCACTCGTCACCCATGCAATAATTACGTGTCGGTCGTACAACCCGCCTTCTTCCTATATATACTCGACCCTCGCACTTGAGATCTTAGATTTGAAATCTTATCTTACCAAACCCTAGCCCCGTGATATCCTGGTCTTCTTTATATAGATTATCTGATTTAGCCCCGTGATATCCTGGTCTTCTTTATATAGATTATCTGATACTCACACCAGATTTCTCTGATATGAGATCAGATATACCACAGAAGAAACCCAACATAACCCTCTCTCCAGTCGCCGGCCTTTAGCTCCTGTTTGGGGCCGGTGGCAGCCACCCTTTCAACCTTTGTTATCCTCCTCCTTTCTCTCCTCCTCTTCCTTCCCTGTACCTGCGAGGGCCCCGATTTCCATCTGGGAATGGTAGATCAACCCACCTTTTACGGAGGGTGTGAATGGAACTGTGTCTCCAGGCTTTTCATCATTCCCCGCAGCAGCGGTGGCCCCATTTTCCGTCAAGGACCAGTGGAGCAACCCACCATCTATGGGTAGTGTGGTGGGGCACTATCTCCGGGCTGTTTGCCCATGTTTCAAGGTATTTTGATTTTAGGCTTTTAGGCTATGATTTGGGTCTCTGCGCTCATGATCTTTCAAAAATTCAAATCAACCCTCCAACCCCTCAATACCAGTTATAGCCATCCCCTCCAGATTTGACAGATCTCATCTCAACACTTGTTCGCTGCTAATTCCGTGCTTCTCCCACACTTACTCACACACACGCTTGCACGGTTACACATGCACACGCATGCACCCACACAAACACACACAATCGTCAAGAAAACAGACCACATCGAACCGCCTGGACTGTTAGTATTATGATCCTTTAGTTTGAAAAAGAGAAAATTAGTCCAAATTTAGTGTTCTTATCCTTAAATAAATGAACTTTTATTACAAATTTTTACACGCGGTGGCAACATACAATCGAGATGCTGAGACGTAGTTTAGATAAGAGTTGCTGATATTTATCAACTGATAAATTTTTTAGCTTTTATGGGTAGTATACAATAAGAGAAATTGTCCTACAACGCACACCAATTACACTGTAATTAGGGTGAGATCTAACCTATTCTCTTGTCCCTGAATAAATGACAATTTATTACTGGTGGCCATTTATTACAAATAAAGTAATAAAACGGCACAAATATATGACAAAAATGGCATAAATGGTGTGCCGATAGACTGAATGTAAATGGCGTGCCTTTTGTACACCAACAAACCCCTTCTGACGAGCAACAGCCCATGCAAACACCCCTTTAGACCATCTCCAATGGTTGGGCTAAAAACTAAAATTTTTAGCCCGAAAAATTTAGTTTTTAGTCCAGAAACAGTTTTTTTACTCCAACATTTTTGACGTAAAATTTTAGCCTGGAATTATTAAAGAATGAACTTAGGCTAATTTTTTTCTTAAATTAAATTAAAAAAAAAAATATGTAGACTATCGTAAATTAATTTTATGAACATTTTAATCTAAAAAAATTTAAATTCCGATAGATATTGAAAAATCATAAACTTAATACAACTGATAATTCATAAACCACATAATTAATAAACTACATAAACTTAATACAAACGACAATTAATAAAGTACATAATTCATACACTACATAAACTTAATAATCATATCGACTATTTTCACTTGGTGATGGACTTCGTGATTGAATTGGGATATAGGGTTCAGAGGATTCATCATCTTGAAACATACTCCTTGAGGCAGACTTTCGCAAAATTTCCTTTTGCTTACCACGTAAGAACTTCTTCCTCTCTGGAGTGTATTTGCTGAGGTCATCCATCATCAAATTAATTTCAAACCTATCTTGCTCCCTATCTGAGATTTCCTTCATTTGCAAACGCATTCGGGTTGTTTCTTCTTGGCGAGCGCTATAGGTTTCGTTCAATTTTGCAATTCCGGTAACAAAGTGTCCACTCATCGGATCTTGAGACTTCCATTTTCTCTTTGCTTCCTTTTGCTTATCTCTTCCCAGGGGCCTTGCAAAAGAAAGAGATGGGGTCATTTCATCGACACCTTCATCTCCGGCATGTGTTTGTGTGGCTTCATGTTGAAATAATCTTCCCCATTGTTAGTGCGCATCAGTTTCCCACCTCGGACAATCTTTGAGGACGTCCCAAGCATGTTGCAACTTAAAAACTTGATTTTTTGGTGTTACTCTTGTCTTGTAAATTTCCATTGCTTTGGTACCCTATGCAAAAAATACATAAAAATAATTAGTTGCAAACTAATATTATGTACATGACACATAAAATATCAAGAACAAAACTCACAATTTCTATGGCGCTTTTTCCACAATGCATGCCAACCACGACTCTCTCTAAGTTTCCCTTCCATAAAGTGCATGCTTTGTTGATAGCATTCCACCGATCATAAACACCACCACCATCCTGCTCGCCGCCGTTGCAGTTTTCTTGAAACTTTGCAATGATTTTATCTCACAAAATTTTTTTATTTTGATTTATGCCAACTGCACCATTTTTGCTAACAGAAACCCATGCCAAGCATAAAACAACATCTTCCTCACAGCTCCAATTACGACCTCTAATATGCTCTCTTGCCATGTTGAACAATTTGGAAATGGAAAGAAATGGTAGAAATATAAATTGGAAGAATTGTAGAAGAAAGTTGAGTTTTGTGTGGATGTTTGAACAAATACATAGGTATTTATAGAGTTTTTGGGCGAATTTTGAGTTAAATAATTTTTTTTTAATTATTTTAGCCGTTGGATTTAAATTTAGGCCGTTAGATCTTTTTTTTTTTTTTTTTTTTACTGTTAGATTTGATTTTATTCGATCTCAGCCGTTGGATTCAATAATATATAAATATAAAAACAAAAACAAAATTGAATCTAGGCCATTGGATTAACCAACGGCCTGTAGATCATGACCGTTGGATGGAAGTAGCCATTGGAGGCGCTGCGAAATGTGGCCAACAGGCGCAGAGGCCCTCGCTGTTTGAGGCGTCACGCATCGCGCGAGTTGGGCGATTAGGCGGGCTGCATTTGGCGCACAAACACCACTTTTCACTTGGTTCGGTGGAGCCCACATCAATTTTTAGGCTAAATTTTGGGCGGAATCTGGGCTTGGTTTAACATTTAGCATTTATCCCAATATTTCCCCTTGGGTTAGGTTGGGTTTGGGGGGAAATTTTGGAGAGTAATTTGGCTTTTAGCCCACCATTGAAGTTAGTCTTACTGTATGTCGCCTCCATCTGTCGAATTTCTCTGATCACTTTTTACTTTACATGCAGATGATGAGACGAGCACGAGAGATGCATGCCTTGGATCAACACCTCCTCCACATCGATCTTATCATCTCCATGGGCATCAACACCTCCCCCAGATCGATCTGATCATCTCCATTGTTGTGTCCAGGTGTTGCCATTCTCTCGACATCAACTTAATGATCAAATAGGGTTTTAACAAATGTCCAACGCGGTCAGTGCATGGCAGAAGCATTCTTCCTTTTCCTTTTCTCTTTTCTTTCTTTAGTTAATTTTTACTCTCTTTCAGAGAATTGATCCAACCCCAACACTCAAACAAAATCTAGTCCTACTTATTGTGAGTCTCTCTAATTTGAAATTAAATGTCTTCACACACTTTTCCCGGGCTAAAAGCAGCTTTCTTTCTTCTTTTTATATTTACGACCCAGATTCTATATTAAATTCTCACCAGCTATAAAAACCCAATAGGGTTTTCTGAAGTTCATCAATTAGTTCTGATCAATTCTTCTGTCGGATATTGTAATCATCCTATATCGCAGAAGAAATGGCTTCTGAGCTAGCTTCAGCTGAAATGAGTTACAAGATCGAAAATCTGACTCTTAGAAAAGATCCGTTGAACTGGTTCTCAATCGGTGAGGCCGTACAGGGAAGCCATTTGGACGAGGTGAAGCGTATGGTGGAAGAGTACCGGAACCCTACGGTTAACGTCGGAGGGCGGGGCCTGACCGTTGGTCAGGTGGCGTCGGTTTCGGTACGTCATGTGGTTGTTGAGCTGTGTAAGTCGGCAAGGGCGGCGGTGGAGGCAAGCAGCGTTTGGGTTATGGATGGTGTGAACAGCGGCAAGGATTTATATGGGATTACGACTGGGTTCGGTGCGAACTCGGACAGGCGGACGAATCAAGGAGCGAATCTGCAGAAGGAGCTCATTAGGTGACTAATTCTGTGTTTTAAAGAACTCCTTTTTGCATGCATGGCTTAACAATTAGGAATGAAATTACATATGAAAAGTCCTTTAATTTATCTTAAACAGCTAATCTTAATTAATGAAGTTTCGCTTAAACCATATTAATTAGGCTTATTGAGTTACTTTTGATAAAGAAAAGATAATTTTGTTTATCTTTCCGATCCGGCACTTTTCAATCTTGTTCCAGTGGTCATTTACCTTTCTTATTTTCTCATCGACCTTGAGTTGGTTTGTTAATTATATTTTACTTAGGTGAGTAGAAAAATAAGAATGGGTGAAGATAACAACTCTCTACTTTTAAAACATGCACATCATGCAAATCATATCCATGTAATTTACTTTGGTTTGTAATTAAGCTTAAATCCCAAAAAATATCGTACTCTTTCATGTTTTTCATGAAATTCATCTCAACTGAAGCTAGTTCAGAAGCCATTTCTTCTGCGATATAGGATGATTAGAATATCTGACAGAAGAAATGATCAGAACTAATTGATGAGCTTCAGAAAACCCTTTTGGGTTTTTATAGATGGTGAGAATTTAATACAGAATCTGGGTCATAAAGAAAAAGAAGAAAGATGTGTGTTAAGACATTTAATCGCAGATGAGAGACGGTCACAAAAAACACGACGATGATGATGTTTATTTGATTCGTCTGAAAGGGAGTGAAAATTAGTTAACCCATGCATATATATACATGTTATATATATGTGTCTTTCATAGAGAGATGTTTGGTCGAAGAAGAGACACTGACACTGGTCTCGTTTGGAACTGCAGTCGACAAACAGTTAAAACAAGGGCCGGAATGTCCACTTTACTCGTGTTCTTTTGGATAATTTCATGTCCTCGCATATTTTTCTTACATTAATTCACTTTTGTTATTGTTTGATAACTGATGAAAATTTAATTGTTTTATTCTTCCACTGGCTTTGATCCTTTTGATTATATGTTTAACAGATTCTTGAATGCTGGAATATTTGGCAATGGGACAGAAGCTTGTCAGTGTCACACACTGACACTGCCACACTCAGCAACAAGAGCTGCAATGCTGGTGAGGATCAACACCCTCCTCCAAGGCTACTCCGGCATCAGATATGAGATTTTGGAAACCCTCGCAACGCTTCTTAACCGCAATATTACTCCCTGCCTGCCCCTCCGTGGCTCCATCTCTGCATCCGGCGATTTGGTCCCTTTCGCATACATTGCCGGCCTCTTAACTGGCCGTCCTAATTCAAGGGCCATGGGACCCTCATGCGAGCCCCTTGATGCCGAACAGGCATTCCAGCTTGCGGGACTAAACAATGGCTTCTTTGAATTGCAGCCGAAGGAGGGACTTGCATTGGTTAATGGCACAGGAGTTGGTTCTGGCTTGGCTTCCATAGTGCTCTTTGAGGCTAACATCTTGGTTGTTTTGGCGGAAGTTTTAACAGCAATTTTTGCCGAAGTTATGCAAGGGAAGCCGGAGTTTGCGGATCATTTGACGCATAAACTGAAGGGACATCCCGGACAGATTGAAGCTGCTGCTATAATAGAACACATTTTGGATGGAAGTTCTTATGTCAAGGAAGCACAGCAGCTGCATGAAACTAATCTCCTTCGAAAGCCAAAACAAGATCGTTATGCTCTTCGTACCTCGCCACAGTGGTTGGGCCCTCAGATTGAAGTTATTCGACTGTCCACCAAATCCATCGAGCGGGAGATTAACTCGATGAACGATAACCCCTTGATCGATGTTTCAAGGAACAAGGCCTTGCATGGTGGCAATTTCCAGGGTACCCCAGTTGGTGTCTCAATGGACAACACAAGAATAGCTTTGGCGGCCATTGGAAAACTCATGTTTGCACAGCTTTCTGAGCTGGTTAACAACTTCTACAACAACGGGTTGCCTTCGAATCTCTCTGGCGGACGGGACCCAAGCTTGGACTACGGGCTCAAGGGTGTGGACATAGCCATGGCAGCGTACTGCTCGGAGCTTCAGTATCTTGCGAACCCCGTGACCACTCACGTCCAAAGTGCTGAGCAGCACAATCAAGACGTGAACTCGTTGGGTTTGATTTCGGCAAGGAAAACAGCTGAAGCAGTTGAAGTCTTGAAGCTGATGGCCTCAAACTATTTGGTTGCACTTTGCCAGGCTATAGACTTGAGGCATTTGGAGGAGAATCTGGGGAACAGCGTCAAGCTTGCAGTTAGCAATGTTGCGAAAAGGGTTCTAACGGTCGGAGGCGCTGGGGATCTCCATCCATCAAGGTTTTGTGAGAAAGATTTGCTCAAAGTAATCAACGATGAACCTGTTTTTACTTACATCGACGATCCGTGCGGTGAACATTCTGTCCTTGTACAGAAACTGAAGCTAGTCTTGGTCAATCATGCACTGGCAAACAACGATGACATGACGAACCCAAATGCTTCAATCTTTCTGAAGATTGGTGCATTTGAGCGAGAATTGAAGACAGTTTTGCCCAAAGAAGTTGAGGAGACTAGATTTGCTTTTGTGACTGGCTATCCAGCTACTCGAAACCGGATCGAGAACTGCAGGTCCTATCCGTTGTATAAGTTTGTGAGGGAAGAGCTAGGAACTGAATTTTTGACCGGAGAGAAGATCAGGTCTCCGGGAGAGGATTGCGACAAAGTGTTTTCGGCAATTTGCAGTGGAACGATAATCGATCCGCTCCTGCACTGCCTCGATGAATGGGATGGCAGTCCCCTTCCAATATGTTAAGAACTCTACCCTGTCCTAAAACAATAATGTTGAGATATATGGTACTTATGTACCCAATCCAACAACTATAGAACCGCATACATGACATATTTTCATTGCAACAGATTAAGCCCTAAGAAAAATATTATCGAAAGCAATCAGTCCGGATTCTTCGTGCTCTGATAGATGCCCGGCCACATTTATAAGAACGGCGAGAAAAACGAATGAAGAGTATTTACCAAATATAGCCAAATATTCGCACTTGCTTTAAAAAATGTTAGTTTTTATAACAATGCTCAAATATATCCAAAATTTTACTTAAATAGACACAAATACCTTAAAACTTTAAAACCAAAAAAACTAAAAAAATCTAAACCCTATTAGATGAATTTCTAATGCCAAAATCTAAGAAATAGTGGAGACATAGTGAAGGCATCGACTGCAGGTGCAGACTGTGTAGCCCTAAACAACAATGAGTTAAGATGATTATTTTTTGCATTTTTCCTCGCCTACATTTTCTTTTTCTTGTTTCAATTTTTTCCATGTTTCGGTCAGTGCCTGTTTCTAGTTCTTTAGTTTCGCTAAATTTTGGGAGAGAGATAGATAATATTTAAATGTGATTTTGTGATTTTTGGTTCTTTGCTATCTCTGTAATTATGGTGATCAAAATTGTTATCACAAACAATTTTCTTATTTATTCAAAGTTCCAGCATAATCATAATCACTTTTTTTCCTCATTGTTTTGCTTATAAAAGGATTTGTATCTGTTTAAGTGAAATTTTGAATATAATTGAAAGTTTTTATAAAAAATGACATTTTTGAAATTATTGATATATTCCCAAAAAGTGAAAGCAAGTAAGAAAGGATTCAGGAAATAAGCCATACGAATGAAGTTGAGGTGAGATACAGAAAATGTTCTACTTGTGCCGACAGCGTTGTACAAACTAATTTGGCCCTTGACACCGATTTACGCTCGGCTGAAACATAAGAGTACGAACTAACTACATAATTTGAATTTACATTACCATCATTTGAACGCAAGGCATCTCAAAATGTACAGCTACGACCTCCCAGCAGCAAGGACAGCATTACAACACGCCTGCCTCTCCCTAGGGCATGTCAAAAGTCACAACCCCGGCGCATTACCCAGAGAAGGAAGAGACGTGGTAAAATGATTTTCTGAGAAATTAGGAACTGGTATCTTATAACTGGTTAGTCATCGTCTGATAAACAAACTATGTCGGCGGGTCCACCTGAATTTACTGGGCTCGTACGAGCACTTCCTGTAATGGGAGGAGTAGAAAGGTTCGATGTGGCACGGTTTGAGACCAAATTTGGGCGTGAGGGCGAACCACCTGGTGGACTTGCACCAGACCGAGAGTTCATATTCATAAGCAACCCCAAAGCAGATAATCTACGAAGAGCTGACAGATCCCCTGGACTTTCAGGCTGACGGGCACTAGTATTAGGAACAGATTGCTGTGCAGGAGCTGGAGGACGTGGAATATGAGGAAGTGAGGGAGGCGTTGCGGGGGAGTTGCTATTGGACTGCTGATTAGACATGGAAGTTGAAGGTCTAAACGGTTGAAGATGTGGGGCCGGGGCACGAATCTCACCTCCACCTTGGGCGGTTCTTGTGGAGGAGATGGAACTGATATGCGGTGGTCTTGCTGGGATACTTGGAATAGGAGAAGTTGAAAGAGGAATTGTTGCAGGTGCAGGTGGGCTGGGTAAGGGGGCAGTTGAAGTGTGCAGGTTAGCTGCAGGAGTGCTGGCCAAAGATGAACTAGCAACTGGAGAATTTCTCTGTGTATCATGTCTAGATAGCTGAACCAGCTGCTGAACAAAACTGGAATTCCCATCTGGCAGATAAATTGGAATAAGGAGCATAAGTGCAATGACAAAAAAGCACATAATCTGCAAGAATACGGGGACTCAGCCCCTTCCGCCAAAAATATTATATTTAGAGTACATTTAGACCAAATGGGCAGATTCAGTTCGTCATAGCAGGCACAGTTAATGCTAAAGAAGGTTTCGAAACCGATCACATACACCGAACTTGACAGTCAATCAAATATTGAAACTATTTATACAGACAAGTTCAATTTTCCCCCTCGTCTCTCTCGCCACACCACCTTTTTCTTTTTTCTGTTCTCTCGTCTGAGTGGATCCTTTTTTATAAATCCTTTAACCCTACTCCTCATCGATTGTTCATTTAACATGCCATTTTTCTTCTTTTTGTACCCTCCCCCGGTCTAAGTATGTATTAATGATGGACCTAGCTTACGTTCAGAACCAAGCTATCCCTGGGTCAAAAATCTTCATCTACTACAGTTTCGCACTCCCACCAAACAACCTATGGAATCTGAAGCCTTAAGGTTAAAATCTAAAAATCTTACTATCCTCCTTAATCTCGGATGGTCCAAACCTTAAGGTTACTTCTCAAAGAATAAATTTCACAATACATAATTGGTATATGAATAATAAAACTGATATCTCAAAAGTTGCAATTCAGAAGTTTTCATACCTTGCTGCAGTCCAGATGCACCTGATGCCCGAAGATCCATGCATTTAGACCGGAAAGCCTCAGCCAAAATCTTGTTCATCAAAACTTTGTGGTGTATTGAATCCAACTCCTCCTTTTTGAGGAGAAATTCAGCCTCAATCTCTTGAGATCTAACTTCATATTTTCGTCGAATTTCAGCAACAGCCTCCTCTATTTCCTTGTCGCAATCACCCTTCAGTCGTAGCTTCTGTTCAGGACAAAAATGACCTCAGCAGAAATTTTTGCTTTGATAAATAAATAAACAGCAATATATTAACTTCAAAACTCACCGCATCTTCATGAGACTTAAGAATATGATCTGTCTGTTTATTCAATCTTTCCAATTCAAATTGAAGCGGGTCAGTGTATGAAGGCAGAGGCGCTCGAGATCCCCCTTGGGGTGCAGCATTTATAGGACGACTATTAAATGCAGAAGTAACAGGTGTAGCCCTTGTGTCTGAAAATGGCAGTCCAAATTCACTAGTAGAGGATGTGACAGGCCGCAAAACAGTTTGATTTGAAAGATCGGAAATATTCTCAACAAGATCCACCGGAGCATGGGAAATTTGGTTAGAGGTACGGTCTTCACCAGGCTGAATTTCGACTCCACCAGCTGAAGATAACTCAGAAGCACTATTATCAGGTGCATAATAGGATGGCTGTTGCACTACAGGTTCAATGTCTGGCAATTCATGATTAGGCGGCAGATTGGATGCTACGGTTGAAGCAGATTCGGGTGTGATATTTTCATCCGTTTGGGAAGTATTCTGCTGTTCGCTGGATACTGCATCTTCTTGCTCTGCATCAGATGTTTCTATCCGAGTACCTATGTCTTGATATGCCTGGCCAGGTAAGCATTTGTCAGTAGGTGAATGGCTAAATCACTTTCTCTTTCTGATTTTATTGTAGAACAAAATTTACCATGGAATATGAATACCACCTCCTAACATGAAAGAACCAAGTCAAAACAAAATCATATAATAGTGGACCACTTATAAGATGTTGTGAAATGTGAATATAAAAACTTCATCAGAAAATTACAAATCTAAGCGTGTCATAATTCTCAAGATAGTGTAAAACAAAGTAGGGCAGCCTGCTCATCAGACAAAGCACAAAGTCATTTTCATGGAACATAAACAAAGATAAAAACAAGGTGACTACCATATAGATCGACAAATTCCAACAAGCAAATACCTGATCTAGTGTCGCTGAACAACCAGTAACCAAGGCCACAGGCTGCACTCTAGGTGAATTTACCAGGGGCATTTCCTGATCAGAGTTTACATTGGTCACAATATCAACTCCATTCTGCTGGAAAGCCCCTGGTGCACTATCAGATGCCATAAGATCCACTTCACTGGATTCTTTTTCAGTAGCTTTTTCACAGATTTGTTCATCAGGTGGTGGTGGATCCACAGATGCAAGATTCCCTTGCTCATCATCTGAACTGACAGTCTGCAGCACTGACAAATCAACCTCTTTATCTGGCATGGCTACTGTCACTTCATGGATTTGTTCTTCAGAGGCAGGTGACATAGGCGGAACATGGTGGAGACCATGACTTGAAATGACAGGCTCACGTTCTGTTGATTTTTCAGGGATTTCTTCTTCAGATGAAGGTGCATTCAAAGAGACACAACTTTCCAAGCTATCTTTGGAACTGACATTCTCAAGCACGCCCAAATGAACCTCTTTATCTGGTACGGTTACTGTCAATTCATGGGTTTGTCCTTCAGATGGAGGTGGGCTCACAGAAACGTCATGCAAATCATGACTGGAATTGACAGTCTCATGTTCTGTCACTTTTCCAAGCATCTGTCCTTCAGCAAGTGGATCCACTGAGACAAGATTCCCTTGTCCATCATTTGAACTGACAGTCTCAAGCGCTCCTGATTTGATCTCTTTATCTGGCATGGTTTGCTTCGCTACATGGTTTTGTTCTTCTGGTGAAGGTGCCCTCACAGAAACGACGTTTTGCGAGCTATGACTTGAACAAGGATTCACAGATACATCCAGCACCCCACTACATGCAATACCTCCGTCAGTAATTTGCGCTTTGGCACAAGGATTCACAGATACAAAACTCTCTTGAACATCACTAGAACTCTCAGCTTTGTTTTTACCCATGAAACCACTAGATGAAGCCGCCTCAGAAGTAATATCTAATGCACCAAGTGGCCTAGCTGGGGTCTCCTCCTCGGTTCTAATGGGGGCATTATGTGCTACAGCTTCAGCAGGAACACTGTCTGCAGTTGGAGATGGTGCTTTAACTCCCCCCGCCACGCTATGCACAATACTGTCAAAGTCATGGACTCTTAAAGTGGCAAGATCTTCGTGATCTTCACTACTTTGACATTCACTAGTTCTTGAGCATTCCAACCAAGGGTCAAGTGTATCTGAGGGTGATCTATCTAACAATTCAGCACGAGCCCAGGATTGCACTTCCTCTACCCATCGTTTCCCCATCTCCCTCAGTTTACTCCTTGCTTCCAGCTGTGATACCTCAAGATGCTCAAGACGTAGGTCCATCTGGATGTTATTTTCTTCTATTTTCTTTTCCAACATCTTAAGCTTATCCGTTCTCATTGATGTATTATTCTGAAAGCAAGATCGAATAACAATTGTCTCTGCTTTAAGCTCTCTTTCTAGACGCCCCTTTTCTTCCTCATAAGTTCGCAAAACTTCAATTTTGTCTTTGCTTTGCTTATCAATAAGTTTTTTCATCTTCTTCTGGAGCTTTTTCTGAATTTCTTTAATACTTTTTGAGACATCTTCTTGTGCAAAATATTCTTGACTCGGTGGCAAGTCTTTAATGTCTGATTTAATGTGCTGCAAATTAGAAGTTAATGACTGTGAAGCCTTCGCATCAGAATTCTTCAAAACATCTTTACTTGATAAATTAGAAAGCTTTGGAGATTCTGCAGCCTTAAAAGCGCCTATACTGTGCAAAAATGTTCTTCTCAGACACCGCAGCATCGAATAAACATACTCTGCCTCCTCCTTTTTGCAATTGAAGTTAAGATGCTGCTTTGCAAGTGAAAGAGATTCTTTGTGGTCAACTTTCTGCTTCAGAAATGAAGCTGCAATCCAGCACTGGAATATAGATATCAGAAAGTCGGTTAAAAAATGTTAAAAGTAACACTAAGGAACGTGCGCATGCAATTAAGCGATGATGTATATATGCACACAAAATACTAAGGATGTCCCCCAACCTCACACAGAGAAATAGAGAGAGGTAGTACTTAATATGTGGTCCGTTTAAATGTTAGTCACAGTTACAGCTATGGACATAGTGAAGGAAATGCTTAAGAATTGTGGAGTATGGAATTTAATTGGAAGATCACAAGATAATACCATGTGGATTTTGAGTTTAGTTGTAACTAAACTCAATACTTCACTATTCTCCAACCACCCCATTCTCTTTTGATATATCCAAACTTCCCCAAAATAGCTTAAGAATTGTGGAGTATTAAACTTAGTTGAAAGATAAATAAATAAAAGAATTACCACATATATGGATTTTTTTTTTTTTTTTTTTGTCAAATGATAGATTTTGTTAGATTAGTTACCGCCAGGGTTCGAATCCACGCTGTCATGCAAGGGCGCAACTCCTTTCCACCACTGTGGTAAAGGGCCACTTGCACCACATATATGGATTTTAAATACAATTATTTCTTTTAAAAATTAAGCTGTTAGTAATGAAAGCATTTTTCTTGACTCAAAAAATCCTGAATATCACCTAGTGGGACAAAAACATGAATCAGTTGACAATTTAGTGCTATTCAAACTGCATTATCTTCATAGAAGTTTATCCATCCTTGGTTATTTTACTTTTTACAAGAAATATAACTTTTCAACCCGTATAAAAGTGACATTTCATGGTGGTAAGCAAATCAAGTGCAGAGGCAGAAGAATCACCATCACTCAAATATGTTTAGGGTAGAACTTGATCAGGTCAAGCTAGGTAAAGTGCATCATCGTTATACAATGCATCATTCATTTGTAAAACTGAACCAACAATTTATAAAAGTTGTCGTACGCCTAGGCAAATGAAAACAAAATTGATTCTTTGAACACGCAAGACGTGAAGTACCTTCTTGCTATCATTTGTAAGAGATGTTGTAAGCCTAAATCAATGAGTCACTATAACATATTCAGTGACAACCATATGAACATATCAGGGTAAAAGGAAAAGCATGAATACCAAGTCTATACTTTAAAATCATTTCACGACCAGGAAGATATATGATTGTTGAAGGAAAGTAATATTAAAGAACTTTGCAATTCAACATGCCAACAAAAAATAAAAAAAAGGTTAGGCTAAATAAGTGCATGAAAGAGCAAGACAATTCTAACCAGAGATATCTGAAATGCCTGCAATATTGTCGCTGGTTCTCTATTAACACGGTGATTACCCATTACATATTCGAGAAAAAGTTCGACCATAACCTTGACAGCATCCTGCATTACAATGAGTAACCAAGATATCATTAAACGAGAGAACCATGTTTTACTGAGGTATAATAATGGAAATACCAGTTAATAACAGCAGCACATATGAACGAAAACTGAAAGCAAAAGGTTGTTCACATGAAAATCAAATCCATACAGAGACTTGTAAGATTCCACATAGTTTTAATATATCTGGCTTCAGAAGTTGATGGAGACTCTTCTGGGCATCACACAATTTTCTTCTCTCTTCAGACTCAAGCGTGTTACTTTCCGGAGTATTCACATTATCTGAAGTGGAATCACGAATTTCATCAGTTACTTTATTTGCACAAGCAGTTGACTGGTGAGAAGAATGAGGCAAATTATCTGCTGCAGCCACAGAAGTTCCTGCAAAAGTAGAGATATTTTAAAAAACTAGAAATGGGAATCCAACAGATCTACAGGACCATGACATTGCATCAAGACATAATTCTTGGAGAAATGCCATGAAAAAATGAAACAATTCACAGTATCAGTCATTTACCTTCCTTGGATCCAGGAATTGATTTCACCTCTGATCCAGGCTTCAGATAGGGTGCATTATCATTACTATTTACCACCTTCCCTCGTTTTTTTACAATTTCTTGTTTCTTTGGTAACTCATCAAAAGGTTGTACCCGTTTCCGATTCCTCTGAGACAAACCAGAACAATATTTCCACTGAGGATGCTTTCCTTCCAACAGTTTTGTCCAAAAACTAAGAGGCTGCCCTTCACCAGTATATTCATTTTTCATCTCGCTTTGCAACGGAACCTCCGTACTGTAAGCTCCTCCAGTTTGTTGAACTCTTAAAATCGTAGAATAATTACATGAGCCAGTGTTCTTGCCATCCTGAGGAAGTATGGAGAAGAGCTCCTGGACGACATCTTTCAGAAGTGATTCTTCAGACAAGATATTTCTAGTAGAGGCTGGGCTGTTGCAGCCATGGAACTCATCTAGTTTATCTAGTTGATAAGGTGCCCCCCACAGAAGCATACTACTGCTCATATTCTGTATGTTGCTATCAAGAATCTTCCCCTGTTTTGCACACACTAGAACTTTCTCCTCCACCGTACAAGTTGAATATAAGCGAAATACTTTTATGTGTTCAAACCGGGAATCAAGTGATATCTTTTGCAGGGCTTTTATATCATTATGTGGAATCCAGTCACTACCAAATATGATCACAGTATCAACTGATGACAGTTTGATGTTGGGGAGACAAGCACGAGCCTCCAGTAAGAACACAAATCTACCAGACTCCTTATTGTTGAACATGTTCATAGCAGCATCTTTCTTAGACCGAAGGACACCGCATTCGACGCGTTCATAGGAATTTTCACCATATCTTAGGCGCAGGAAATCATCCAAAATATCTCCAAGAGAAAATGCTTTTCCTGAACCACCAATTGACTGGTAAAGACAAAAATAAAAAGGAAGATGAGAACAATAGAATGATTTCTTGTCCATATATCTGTTGTCTATCATTGATTTTTTATGGCCCTGGATAAATCAGAGAAGCTCAGTAAATTCATACTTTATGAACTGCCTGAATACTATAGAGCTGGTCAGGTTCACATCCTCATTCATCTTTAGTACTTTATTTGGAAGAAAAAATTGCATCTTATGGCACATGGCAGAGAGAACACAAGTGATCAAATCCAAAGGCGGAAGCCACATATGTGATTACACCTTAAATGGTGTGAAGCCAGTTGCTGCTAGAGATCATCTACTTACCTTCGTATGGTGGCTTCGGGCTTGTAACTCAAGCTTTGTGAGGAGGGAAATGTTGTTTGCTAGCTGATTTTTTTGGGTGGTTTGGTAAGAGAAGTAAAAATAATTGTTGAAAATTACAGAGAAGTAAGAACTGTAGAGGAGGTTTAGCGATGAGCCTCTGTTTGGGCATAAGTAAGTCAACATTCAGGATGCTTTGTTTTGGGCGATCTTTTCTGATTGGAGTGCTGCAGGCTGCAGCGGTTTCAAGGGAAAAAAATATTGTTTCTTATTTGTATATGTATATATATAATTTAATGTGATAGTCTGTCTGCTTATATATATCATCTGATTTTTATAAGAAACAAACTTTATTAAAGATAAAAACAAGACAAAATTAGTGAACAAGTAGTTCACTTCTGAGAAAAAGCATAAAACACACCATTTTTTTTTCTTTTTTTTTTTTTTAGAAAGCACAAAACACAATTACAAAACAGAGGCTTTCCAATTTGAATAAATAACAGAAAAAGAGATCTCTCAAACTTCCAAAGCTACAGATGCCCACAAAGAATCCCAAAAGCGCACCCTTTGCCATAAGAATTCCACCTCCACACCCACAACATTCTCAAAAGTCTTCTTATTCCGTTCTCCCCATAGCACCCATAAAAATTGCCAACATAACGCACACCCCCCCAGCACTACCCCTCTCTTTTCCACTGACAAACTTATGCTTTTCACATAATAATGCATTACATGACATCGAAATGGATCAACATAAACCTGCCTCCTCATTTAACAGAGCCAACAAAGAAAAAGCCACTGGAAAGTGCAACAACAAATGATCCAACCAAAATGCATTATATACTCAAAAACTAAAAAATAGGAAGCTAATCCTCATTCAACAAATTATCTAAATCCACATGTTTAAAAGGATGGGAACAGCCTCCCAAAGAAGTCAAGATCAAAACTTCTATATTAAATATAAGGTATAACAAATAATACTAAGAACAGCAGTTCTAATAAGAATTATACTACCACTAATCACGTACCTGGAACAGGATAAGTACTCTTAAACTTCGATTCTTTATCTCCTTAAGCATCACGTCAAGAAGCTGAAGCTTGCCACTTGCTTTGATTCCTACATCCAAATACTCAGCTGCTTGGAGGTCTTTAGTAAGCAAGGCTTGTAATGGTGGATGCACAATGTAGGGGTGATCACAGCACTGTCAACAAATGCCATACAAGTGACTTAATTAGAAACAAGTAGGGTGGTGGAGGAGGGAGAATAAAATATGCAAACCATAGGAAAGTCACTTGTTTTCAATACCCATTGCACAAAACACAAGGAAACTCAAACTTAAAACAAATATGCAAATAATATCTTCCTTTGTTTTAAGCCAAGCACAAATTAAAATAGAAAACAACATAATAAAATGAGAAAACAAAATCCAATTAAATTAATAGAAGAGAAAGTTGAAACTAATAAATGAAAACATGTCATTACAGATCTCTTCTAATTCCAATACGTGTATGTGATATACAAACAACTTGAATTATAAATCACTAAATTAAATGAAACTAAAATCCAAGAGATAACTATATTACTAGTAGTAACTTTTTAAAGGTGCAAAAACCACATTTTTAAATTACCCAAACAGAATCAACTATATATATGTGTGTACGTATATATACAATATCCGCGCCAACATACTAAAGAGAGAAAAATCAAAATGAGATGACAGAATGGTGTTATCAAACCAAATAAAAAGTATGCCAACCTATGACACCATGGAAGTCAAAATTTACAGTAGATGACAAAAAGACACATAGATGTCATGCAATCATTAACCACCATACTAGAGAAAAGTGAAACCAGCCAACCTTCCGAGCAGCTAGAGTTACATCATAGACTGCTTTTTTTGATAAATTTTTGTCTGCTAAAGTTATATCTGCTCCAACACGATCTTTCTTTGCCAATGAGAGAATTAATGTGGAGTTTGACAGTAAATTTTCACAGTACTGCTCTAGCTGGACGGTTGATATCTGTACAGGAACCCAATACTCTCTAAACCTGGGAGAGTCATGTTCGCATCCATGAGAAATATACCTTGAAAGCCTGTCCTTTAATTTAACAATAATGTCAGTGCAACTGCTTAGGAAGTGATCACCAGTTTGTGAATCGCTGTCAGAATCAAGGAGACACAACAAACAGAGGTACTCAGGACTGCTCTCCTGCAATATTTAGCCTTTCATAAGCGAGCCAAGTAGAAAGCAATCTCCACCACCACTCAAAATATAAAAAGAAAAATACTAACATAAAGCACAATAAAATACAAACCTTAAGTACTCCACTGACCAGGAGAAGCCACTTACGGGTACGTAGCATCTTAATCTGCACCAACTGTGTAGAGATTGTAGGGTGCTGGCATGCATCAATTATGATAGTTTCCCATCCAATGTGTTCGAATACATTTTTATCCTGCAGAATTAAAAGACAGTTTAACAACTAAGTCACTATTGTCTAAGCGACTATTCAGTTCAAAGAGAAGTAAGCACTTTTACATTCAACTACATTTCTAATGCTAATGGATCCTACAATCAGGGAAAAAGATACCTCAATAATAGCATCTGGTGAGGTAACAAGTACTTGAAAAATGGCACCAGCCTCATCAAACTCTATTGACCTAATACTTCTCCGTAAATCTTTATTTCCACTGTAAACCACAACATTCATAGATGGTGCCAAACGGGAGAACTCATCATCCCAATAACGAAGTGTAGAAGGAGTTGAGATGATCAGAAAAGGTTGATAGGCATCAGACTGCAAAGATTTAATACATGCAATCACCTTCACAATTCGTTCCTGCAAAAACAGAATTTGTTTTCACAAGCACAACTTCACATGAAACATTACTAGATTCAGTCTAAAAACTTGAATTTTTTCTTTTTAGTTCCCCATTAAGCACCAGCTTGTTGCTAATATATAAGATCATAAAGAAGATGGTAAATCGTTCTAAAGTCCCTAATAAAACCTTTTTCAGTCAAAAATACAATAACATATTTCAGAGGAGAAAAATTAAAATGTAAACCTGTTTATTATAATCGTATTTCAGAAAATTATCTGAAAATCCTCCTCTTTCTTTACCCAACCCTTTCCTATAATTTGGAAGGTTAGAGTACCTCCTAATGTAAATACTTGAACAACTGTTCACAGAGCTGATACAAGTGTGTAAAGGAGGGAGTGAATGTGCTGATCATATGTTCCTCCAATGACCAATTGCATAGTTCTTGTTGGTGAGAAACATGAGGCTTTTGGAGGGGGGAAGAAGGAAAAAGCTTTAGGAAGTTGAAGTGTGCTAACAGTGTCGTGGTAATTTGTATGGAAAGAAACAAAAATGAGTTTTAAAAACTATAGTAGGGAGGTGGCTGAGATTTTATGTACCAGAGTGGTTTCACCTGACTTTTGGAATCTCCCCTTATCCTTAGTTTTAGCATGTTATTAAGCCGTTTTAATTAATTAGAGATGTAAAACAAGCCGTGCTAGCACCAGCATAACTAAAACAGGCTTGACACACTTGTTAAAGAGTCTCAGAGAGTTTTAAAATAATTACTCTTTGATCGATAGTATTGTTGTATTTTCATTTGCGAATTGATGAAGCGTACATCTTTTCACCACTATGGCACTCTATTTTGCTTAATGATAAAATTCATTTCTCAAGAATGCAGACAAGTAGAACAGATCAACTGTATGTGAATATATATCTGAACATCGAATCATAAACCCCACAACAAGACAATGTTAATGAGTTAACCAAAATGTTATCTGACAAGCTGTCTAACAGATGAAAAGTAAACCAAGCTCACCTTATCATCAACAACAATAGCATTCTCACCCTTGTGCCAGAGCTTGCGTAGCTTGTTAATGTTCTCTAGACATGTATTATCAAGTCTGGATGAATCTCCGGCTAGCAGTTCTGATAAATTAACTGTTGAACACTTTTTTTTCTCAAGTATCTGCAAGTAATGCTAGCATTAGCAACAGAAGAATCGTATAGTCATAAGCATACTCATACGAATAAACTGTAGACTCAAAAAGTTCCCTTCAGGGATTAATCAATTTTATAAAAGACAAATAATCTATATATACTCAAAATCTTAAATGACAGTGAACAAGCAGAAAATACATGATATCAAGACAGCCCACCCTTAGAACATTGAGAAAAATATAGTATCCCTTAAAGAGCACACAGAGAGGACATATTGTTATCCATTATGATCAATGACAGAGAAGCCTTTGTACTCGTAGAGAAATGATAAAGAAGCCCTCCACCAATCATAGAAGGAAACAAAATATCTTACACGTCAAATTTTGGAGATTCCATTATAGGTTTCAACTGTGCTTAAGACTAGACAACCAGTATGTTCCTTGTCACTTTCCACTTAAAAATTAATTCAAAACAAATAAGATAGGTTTAGATCTCTTTGGTCAACAAGTAAAACGTGGAGGAAACTGATATCTTCAACATATTAATCCAAACAGATATGCATTTAAATCTAGAACTAGATGTTTCATATATTTCATCATATAATTCATGCCTTTGGCACCTTATCCATTTTAGAGGACTTCTTCACTGTCTGCCGGCGGCTTTCGTAATCTCTTATAAGGCCCTGACCCTCAGGTGAATCAAAGAATGCAGCATTCTCTAACTCCCAAGTAGCATCGTCATAATGAAGACCGCGCCATTTCACAAGCCATTCATACTGACAAAATAAGTTATCACCAATATGTTCCCCAAGATAGTTTTCACGCTGCTTGGAAGACATTAACAATCTCCTTTGTAGCAACCGATGTGGAACTGTCCACTCTTTCCTCCACCTTGTGACCTGAAGAACATTTATTAACAGCTGCTTAATATTGAAAGAATTATTTATCTTACAACTCCCCAACTACAGCTGGTGTGCAAAGTTAGCTTTTGACTTAAGGGTATAAAAAAATGATAGAACAAAGCTAAAGAGTGAAGAAAAAGAAATTTGAACCCATGCAAAGGCATCTCAATCCCATGAATGAATGTCAAATTCCCTTTTTGGGGTGTTTCAAATTTTCCATTGATAGACATAACAAGCATAACAGAACATGTCTACCAAAACAAGAGTTGAAAAAACGGACCTGGTTATTTCGGTTGAATATTGCCACAAGAGTAGGAGCTTCAAGAAGAACTCTACTTTCTGGTACCCATTGGTTGTGAATATGAGCAAGACCTTTGTATTTAACAAAAAATTCCTTCCTCTTTTGCAATCCTACAGGTCAACCAGGAAAAAAAAGGACCAGATATTTGTTATTAAGAAGTCATCATACATAAACTCATCACAACAGAAAATAAGAAAATAATCCAAAACAAAGATGAAGCTAAAGTCTTATAATTTCTGCATACCATCAACATTAGATACCTCTACTTCTCTAGCATCCCAGATTGACTCTATTCCCTCTGACACCGAATATATACCAGATTCCAACTTTTTTCTAACACACATGGGACAGTACCAACGTCCAAGAGGAACATCATCCATAGGAGGATCTAGACAAGAAAGATGTAAGCTTGTCCAGCATCCTTTTCCATTACAGCACCTGAAATTGAAAACAAATTCTAAGAACCAAAACACATCATAGAAGCAAATAACATTGAAGTTTAAAGAAAAAAGTTCCATATTGTGAAAATGTTCATTCATGTGCAAGTACAACCACTCATGCGAAATTACTTCTAAAAAGCGCAGCTTCAGCAAACGTGAAGGACTTTATGCCAGCAAGTCCGGTGTCCAGCAAACATAAAAGACTTTAGGCCGGTTAGTCAAGTGTCCAGTTTAATAAAAAATTATTGTAAAAATGTTGGCCTCATGATTATAAAAGGTGCTGACTGATACGATCTCATTCGCTTTAGGCGGGCTTCAGTGAAGGAGAGGCAGATTTTTTGATGTTGTACTAGTAAAATGGTGGAAGAAGTGGGAAAAACGAAGGTAAGGTGCGTCGAAAAGCTCCAACGGAAAGGCCTTCCGCTGCATGTTATAGGGTCATAGACCAATTGGCACAGTAACGTTAGTGGGGTTATTTGGCTTACTAACTTCAATAAATGCACCGTTTATGTGTATATTCTGTGGTTGCTACCTTCTTAGCTCTATTTGTATCTGGATGAAGGTGGATGCCTTCACCCCAGATTCAATACTTTGTAATCTGTTTTCAGATTTAATAAATTTTGTTTCTCCTGAATGAAAGCAAAAAATAAATTTTCCATATCATTTAATAATAAAAACATTTGCAACTATCAAATGTCACAAGAAAGGGTTACCCACAAGAGCTTCCCACCAAGAGAACAGATGAGGCATGTATTTTGGTCGCCATTTGTTTGAAAGTCTACAGAAAACTCTTTTTGCTGCATACCATTAAGCTTTTCAGGAACATCTGTGGTACTATCAGCTGTGAGTTCTCCTCTATCAGGATGCACCTTTCAGAAAAATGAAAAGAAAAAACCACATCAAGATCAACAAACTGATATAACAAACATAAGATAAACCTAAAACCATAAGGTTTTAAGCTAGGTAATGTGCACTACCTAGAAATTTGACAAGCAAAAGTATTGTAGGGTATCAAAATCAAGTAACCTACTAAAAGACACTATTATTCGCTTCCTTGAAAGATTACTAATGATCCAAGCAAATAACATAAATAGTAACAGTGAACAAAAATTTATACGTCAATCTCCACAAAATAACGGACATGATCCCATAAAATGTTCCATTTCAACCATATGAAAATATCTGTGGGAAAAATAAAAATAATGACTTACAAACAAGTCATGAATAGGAACGTCAAAAATTGCTTTTTTTATCTTGTTTATCGATAATCTCCGGTGTTATGCAAACTGATAAGATGATGCTATGCAAATATATGAACAATAAAGTAAACACGCCACACAGAGACACAGAATTCAGTGTGGTTCAGCAAACTTATGCCTACTCCTTGCATGATCTCTCTTGAGAAATCACCTGCACTGTGGAGAATAACAACTCGGTTTCAAGAACTTAATGAAAACCCTTAAGCTAATTGCTAAACCCACAACGTTGATTTAGAACAGCCCCCAACTAGCCTATTTTTAGTACATAGAACCAATGGTTACATTCCTTACAGGTATAGGATTCTTAAATCCTTTTAGAATAGGGATAACTAACTTATTTCCTAATCCTAAGGGATTCCAAAGAAAAACCTCTTTCCCAATTTTTATGGGAAATAACCTGTGGACATTCCTTTTCTTCTTTCCCAACCCCAATTGGAAAACTACACCTGTTTGGCCTTGGTATTTTCACGAGCCAAATCACGACAGGTCAAAACCTTCATTAACTCGATTACTAATTTCCGTAACACTGAAAAACAAATTCCAAGACGGCTTTGTTGTGAATATCGCGTTTAAGAATGAGAAAAACAGAACAAACTCAAGAAATCAAAAAACAAAGTAACCAAGACAAATAACACCAAGAATTAACATGGTTCGGCTATATGTACCTACGTCCACGGGACAGCAACAACAATCTCACTATATAAATGATGAGTACAACCAATAATCTTGCCAAGGTCTCTAGAATTAAGAACTTGACGATAAACTTGAAAGAACAACAAGAAATACACTCTTTTATCTCTTTTCTTTTCTCTCACACACTTTGCCCTTACAATATTCTCTCAGTCTAATCCCCTGAGTGGTATACAAAATATTGTTTTGCTCCAATTCAAAACTAGTACAACAGCCCGTTATAAAGTCATGATAAAGGTCTTCTTCAATAAGGATTATTAATCCTAATTGGAATCTAGTTATGAATCCTTCTCCAATTGGGTAAACAACTCCGATTGGGGACGCAACTCCAATCGGGAAAACAATTTATCCTCTAAGACTATAATTCCTTATAGACTTAGGATAACTCATCATGGGTTGGAAAAACCCAACAGGCTTCATAAATTATTGTCCTCTACTAAATTACAATGTTCGTATAACAAAAAAAACTTATTTGCTATATCCAATATCTGATGTTACTTTTGACATGGTAGCCACATTTAATTAACTATTATAATCAAATCAGCTCTGTATGCAGCTAGAGATTAGAGATCCTCTACAAACCATATCCACAAAATGACACCAATCATGGAAACACCTCCCCATGAAATGAAACGAGACACATCACCAGAAAGAAGAGAGAGAAATTAAAGCGAGCCACAACACCATAATATAAGCACCAGAAAGCAACAAAAAAAGTGGCAGGCCATTTAGAGCAATATATTCCATCCGAGAGAAACAAACTCAAATAAAATGGAACTGAAACAATGGATTTTGAAAGCAGTAAAGAGTGAGAAGGTTGAGCCAACCTCAGTTCCATATGTACCACATAACTCCTGCTTTAATTTTGTGCTGCAAGAGCAACACTCCAGCTTCGTTGGATCATTTTCCATCCTGAAAATATCACATGAGATACATCAACACTTTTAAAATCGGAATGTTATAAGAGTATCACGACTGCCCAAAATTTACAAAATCTAATACAATAGCCAAGTATATATCCTCATAGATGTAAGATTTTCGACTCCCCTATGGAACTTCTTGTTTGATGTATTTGACAATAAACTCAACTTAGCAAATGGAGAATAACTAAAAACACAATACATTGGTTCGGCAGAACTTTTGCCTACGTCTAGTTGTGATTTCACTGGGTAGAGAGATCACGGCTTCTTTGAATTTCTTGGCCGGCACTTTGAACTTCTGCCAACCTCAAGTGCGGAGGTGCTACGCCTTACTCAATCAACTAGATTGATTGAGTTCAAGCAATGCTTGAATTTCTTGGCCAGCACTTTCTTGGTAAGGAAATATGCGGCATTTTCATCCGTGTGAAACTTTTCAACCCAAGTCTCCTTGGACTCCACTCAAACCCGAATTTTGTGATACCTTACTTCAATGAGTACCCCTTTGCCACAAGCCTTGCTTTGAATCTTACGGCATCTTGTTCATATACTTGCATCCAACTAGCTTTCTGTCTTTGGGTTCAGGAACCAACTCCCAAACAGAGCTTTTGCAAAGCGACTACATTTCTTCTGTCATAGCACTTATCCAACTATCTCGCTTATCACTTAATATAGTTCTTGATAAGTAATTGGATCTCGTTGGCTGATGTGAAGAGATTAATTAACTTCGTCTTGGTCAAACCCAAACTTGTCGGGTTCTTCTTGTTTCAAATGGGTTTGTCCAGTGCTATGCATCTCTGGAATACAGGTGATTTGTGGGTTGGAGTTTGAACCCATTGGGATGTCTGGCGGATTGGAGTGCTTGGAATGCCTAACTCTACCTGGTGAATGATGTTGATGCTCTTCTTCCCATAATCATCAGATTCGAATCCTTGCTCAATTGGCTCCACCAGAGCTTCATCTTCCTTTGATCTGATGAATGGAATTCTTGTTGCTTCAATTCAATATCATCCTTCTTTCAGTTGAAGTCCGTATAGTTCATCATTGAGAAACAATTTATTGGAAACGGTTTTGCCCATATAAACCTTCCCCAATTTGTCCCATGCTTGCTTAACAGTCATCATTTCTGTGATGTGGGACCTGACTGATTTTGTGAGATAGATCTCAATCAATGTATTAAAATGCAAAGGCGTAGGCAAGGCGTCCCATGGATAGCCCAGCCTAGGCATGAGGCGAAGTCTCACAGTGCCTAAAATTTAATCTATATCTTGGGAAAACAAATATAATTATAACTAAATCAAAGATAATATCATCTTCTTCATTACTACATCTAGTTGTACTTGGAAACTATGTCATATAGTCTTAAAATGTTGTAATTATTTATTTTATTGTAAGCAATTATAGAGAACTTGTCACATCCTGGCCCGTGGGGGACCACTTCCCGGGCCCGCTCCACCACCGTAGCACGATATTGTCCGCTTTGGGTCCCGACCATGCCCTCACGGTTTTATTTCTGGGAACTCACACGAGAACTTCCCGATGGATCACCCATCCTGGGAATGCTCTCGCGCGCTACTCGCTTAACTTCGGAGTTCCCATGGAACCCGAAGCCAGTGAGCTCCCAAAAGACCTCGTGCTAGATATGGATGAGAATATACATATAAGGATCACTCCCCTGGGCGATGTGGGATGTCACAATCCACCCCCCTTAGGGGCCCGACGTCCTCGTCGGCACACACGCGACCAGGGTTAGGCTCTGATACCAAATTGTCACATCCCGGCCCGGGGGGACCACTTCCCGGGCCCGCTCCACCACCGTAGAACGATATTGTCCGCTTTGGGCCCCGACCATGCCCTCACGATTTTATTTCTGGGAACTCACACGAGAACTTCCTGATGGGTCACCCATCCTGGGAATGCTCTCGCACGCTACTCGCTTAACTTCGGAGTTCCCATGGAACCCAAAGCCAGTGAGCTCCCAAAAGGCCTCGTGCCAGGTATGGATGAGAATATACATATAAGGATCACTCCCCTGGGCAATGTGGGATGTCACAGAACTTCAAGAGATAAGGCCACAATTATAAGGAATTTTCAAGGAAAATAAAGGTTGAATGTCGCAATTATAGGCAATTCAAAAAGAAATAAAGGTTGAGTGGTGCAATTATAGGGAATTTAAAATGAAATGAAGGATGAGTGGAGCAATTATAGGGAATCTAAACTGAAATAAAGGCTCAGTGGACCAATTATTAAGGGGAAGTTAAAGGAAAATAAAAGCTAAGTGGAGCAGTTATAAGGAATTTGAAGAGAAATAAAACTTTGCTAATCAAAATGCTAGGTGGCGAAATCTGAATGGGCAACCTTAAAACAACAACAACAACAACAACAAAGCCTTTTCCCACTAAGTGGGGTCGGCTATATGAATCCTAGAATGTCATTGCGCTCAGTTTTTTAATGGGCAACCATTAAAAAACAAAAACAAAAAGAAAAGAAACGAGTTACTTTGTCACATAGGATCTGAAGAGGTAAACTCTCTCTTTCTTCTTCATTGAAACTAGAACAGTCCCCTGCATTTTAGAAACAGACATGGATTTTAAAGGGAAAAAAGGCCCGAGTTGAACGCCTGGGCGCACCTCAACTGCCTAGCGCACCCTGACGCCAACCCCCACAAGCCAAAGGAAAAACCAAGCCACCCAGCCTCCAAGGCCTCTAGGCGCTCCACGAGGCAAGTTTTTTAAAACACTGATCTCAATGGAACTCTTGGGCTTCTTGAGAGTCTTGGTCCATGTAGCTTCTATCATGGTTGTAGGCTTCTCACCAAGGAGTGCATCATCCAACTCATGTTGCATCAATACGTTCTTCATCATCCTTTGCTAGTCCGTGAAGTCATCCTTGCCATCAAAAGGTTTTAATGCAGGCCTTAGCTTTCTAGGTTCATGAACTCCTTTCCTTTTGACATCGCATCAGACCTTGAACCAAGCTCTTGATACCTATTCTAAGATTTTCGACTCCCCTATGGAACTTGTTCTTTGATGTATCTGACAATGGACTAAACTTAGCAAATAGAGAATAAGTAAAAACACAAAAGATATATACTGGATCGGCAAAACTTTTGCCTACATCCCGTTGTGATTTTTTTGGGTAGAGAGATCATCGCTTCTTTGAATTAAAAATACAGCGTATAGTGCTTTTGTAAACCCCAGAACTAATCCCTCTCACTTCTCTTGGCTGTCTCTGTTTTTTCTCTTTTTTCCTGCCCTTGCCACACCCTATTTATAAGTATAGGGTGCAGTTTACATGCCTGCTTTGGGATTTTAAGTTTCCTATTCTATTTATAAGTAAAGGGTACAATTACATTCCTGTTCCGTTTCTGCTTTTAGAATTCCTAATTTTCTAGCCTCTCCTTTCTTGCTTAGCTCTTGACTTACTAACTCTTCCTCTTTTCAGGTTCTGAGTGTTAAACCGATAGATTTATCATTTGCCAATGAATTGACCAGATTCAAATAATGGGATTCTTGGCTAGAAGAAAGGTTCTGTGATATGGATGCCAACCCAACTCGGGCAGTCGCCCACCTAATCTAATTGTACCAGAAAACTTAATGCTTTCCTAATCCTAGTAGGACAAGAATATGTGCACCTTTAGTTTTCCTAATACAATCTAAAACAAAATTGGACGCTAACATTGACGAGCCAATTCCTAACAATAAAAATATGACACACCAAGTAAAAATGATTTTGTGATCAGCCCATGTTAAGTTGGGATTCCATTTCAGTAGCCCCTTATACCAGTTGCCAACAGCAATACTTTGCAAAGCACCATCAAGTGGGGATAAAGGAAAATGAAGTTACATTTAGCAGAAAAGTATAACCTCGAAACTTCAATCAGCAGTAATATAGGGGACAGCAATAAATCAAGGGGCACACAAAGCTTTTTGTAAGCTGACCATCAGAAAAATACTGATTACATAATTGATCTGAGAATAAACCCAAATAAAACTAAGAAATTGCACTCATTCTCACGTCCAAACACCTCACTTCCCCTTTCAGGCACAAAGAAGGGGAAAAAATAAGTGGAAGAATTTCTTTCATGTCAGCACAGCTCCTGCATATAGTACAAGAATCACCTAGCCCACAACAAATGTATCACCAGGTAAAAGACATTCCAAAGGAAGTCGCATTCAACTCAAGTTTAACCAATGGTTCAAATGGAAGTCACATTCAACTGAAGTTTAACCAATGGTTCAAAGAAATTCCAAAAGGGGAACGTGATTTGTCACTCCTTGCATTAGCTTTATAGTTGATATGTACTCACGAGCCAATTCTTTTCTGCAATTAATTTATATAGAAAACTGAATTTGTTTGTGGTTGGTTTCCATCTGTAATTTGGCCAGTCTAACATGATAATACTTAAGAGTCTATAGTGTAAGTCTGAGTTTTGGATTGAAAAGGACTTTAGTTCCTTTAAAGATTTTGGACAAAGGTTTACAAGCAACACTTACGCTAACATACACACTAGTGTCCAAAATACGCTAGATCTCTGCCTTTATTCTTGTCCTGACTCTCACCAAGTCTCTTCCTGGGTACCTTTTTTCTTAGCTTTCTCAGAAGAAGATCAACTAATGCAATAAAGCCATTATTATCGTCACAGCAACTATTAGTATTGCCACATTTGTGGGTTTACTCCTCTTTACCAATTATTGATATCTAACTTATCTTCCATCCCATTTCAGAAGCACACAAACTATAGGAAGGAATGTAGAGAGAGACAAATAATAGGATTATAGGCAGAGCTAGCTTTCCATGCTTTTATACTTTGAAAAAGGAGAAACTTTTTACAAACAGGGGATAAGGAGTCCACTTCTATAATAAACTAAAGTCAAAATAACACAGTTTTCATCGGTTGTCAGAGCTTTTGGTCTCCTTATCTTCGAATCCATGAATTAAGCAAACCCAGAAACAAAGATTGCAAAAAGAAGACCCGATTCTCTGATCATAAACCATGAATAGAATAAATTTGAGAGGATTCAAGATTACCCAAAATCTCGCAAAGGGAGGAAACAAACCATAAACTTAACCAGTTTTGTAGCAAATATAGAAAGCAAAAAAAGTGTAGCAAGAGAAATTCTCTCTATAAAATGTGTAGCAAATATTGAAAGCAAAAAACAGTGTAGCAAAAAACAGACATATTCCTGCAATATGTTTGTAAGATTTTCGACTCCCCAATGGAACTTGTTCTTTGATGTTTACCCCAGTATACTAAACTTAGCAAATAGAGAATAACTAGAAACACACAAGATTTATACTGGTTCGGCAGAACTTTTGCCTGCGTCCAGTTGTGATTCCTCTACCCAGAGAAATCACGGCTTCTTTAAATTAATAATAGAGCATACAGTGCTTTTTTAAACCCTAGAACTAATCCCTCTAACTTCTCTTGGCTGTCTCTCTGCTCTTTGCTCCTTGCTGCACCCTATTTATAAGTATAGGCTGCGGTTTACAGTCCTATTTCGGATTAAATCTCCTAACCTATTTGGGATAAGAAAGCACACATATTCCTATTCCGTTTCTGCTTTTAGGATTCCTAATCTAATTGTACAAGAAAATTATTCTTTCCTAATCCTTGTATGACAAGAATCTGTGCACTTTTAGCTTTCCTAATACAATACTAAACAAAAAAGGACTCCAACAAACAACGAACAAAATCCAAACTGTGGGAAATTAAGGATGTGATGCCTTTGATAGAGAGGAATGGTGAAGTCTGATGAGCACAAGTGTTAGCTCTTTTTGTCAAAATATTGGGAGTTTTACTCAAACTCCACTTTATTATGTAAGTTATAAATTCAACAGTAGCCAAACAACATTATAACACTGTAAGTTGTTGTAGTATGATTACACTTTATCTGTTGGTTGACTCCTTTCTAGGGGAGGATATGTGCAACCATATGTAAACTTCAAGCAGCTAGGTTGTAAATTCCAGCAATAGGGATTCTAAAGTGGAAAGATGGTTAGTATAATAAATGTGAAAGGGTGTATTCAAACTCTGGACCTCCAAGTAAATCAGTGGACTAACACAAATTAAATTAATTCAATATAAGTTTTTTTGGAAACCACCACCAACAATACGGATTCTAAAGTGGAATGATGGGAAGTATAATAAATGTGAAAGGGTGTATTCAAACTCTGTACCTCCAAGTAAATCAGTAGACTGACACAAACTAAATTAATTTGATGGCCAATAGATATAATTTCTTTTGGGAACCACCACCAACAGATAAGGAGACAATATGATTATTTTGTGCAAAGGAATACCTTCGTCGTTTCAAACATACACCGCAAGTCCCAACAGAAGCATCCGTTGTGGACCCAGATGGCAATGGGGAGATGGCATCTGCAATCAAGGTGCAGATATCTTTACTTGCATTAACTGCAGAAGAATAGGTACCCTCATCCTCCATGTTCCTTTTTCTCTTTGAAGGTGTAACACAATGACCAGTTTCCGAGCTCATGTGGAGATTGTCTACACTTCCATTGACTGTAGAACCTGTCAACTCTGGCATCTTCAATTGTTCCTCACCAGGGCAATCCACATGTACCCTTGCAGGTGCATCACTGATCTCTTTCGTCGTGGCATTATAAGATGATGGCAATGGCTGTTGACCACAAATTTCTAAGCCATCACCATTTCCAAACTCAGAAGCTTCCTCCATGGAGCTAGGCCTTGGGCTTGAGTGGGACAAGTCCCCTCCCTGATTATCTTCCACTGTTTCTTTTGTAAATTTATGTACAGTGGAATCAGATTCCACTGCTTCAGCACCTTTACAGAGCCCATCAACCGTGCCTCCACAATCGTTGCGGCCTCCCTCAGAAACTTTATTCTGCCTGCTCTGCTCCTCGCTATGACCTAATATTCAAGAAGATAAGAATGAGCCAAAAATGTATTGAATAATCAATACCACTGTTTAATACACAAACAAGAACGAAAAAGGAAACATGAACAATAAACTAATGACTATTGAGAGAAAAGCCACAACAACTACCTTGTGCTTTAAACTTCTTTCTTTGTTTCATGAATAGTGCCTTATAAGCTCGAGCATTTCTTATCTTGTTTTTCACACGGCCAGATCCTACACTTTTGCTCACTTCTCTAGCCGCCTCTGTCAATTCTTTCACACTCTTCTCTTTTTGTTCCCCTTTCCGTTTCATAAATGATGAACCTGAGCTTTTCTCAGATTTTTTAGGCCTAGAAGAATCTGATGAGTGATTCTTGACTCTATTAGAAATCCTCAATGGACTTGGAGTCAACTTCTTCTCAAATCTCTCAGATTTCCTCTTGGATGGAGGAGTTTCAGAACTTTTTTTCTCGAGTCTTTCAGACTTCCTAGTACTAGAAGGGCTCAATGTTATGTTCTTCTTCAACGATGTTTCTCTAGCAGACCTCCTTAATCCAGTTGTATCTAATGCTCCAGAACCTGAAGTGCTTGAACCTTTACTATTGATTTGCCTCCCTTTTGAATTACTATCCTCATCATCCTTCATTTTCAGACTAGATCGTGTATCATGTGCCATAATTTTAACTGCACATCAATAGAAGAATGTCAAGATATTTTAGAGTGAGGACATCTGCATAATTTTAACTGTACATCAATAGAAGAATGTCAAGATATTTTAGAGTGAGGACATCTGCAAATCACAATAACCTGACATCAAACAGGAATAACTAACATCTACACCATCAAGCAGTAATTTAGGTCACTGAACATGAAGACACCACTGAAAATTCATCTTATGTATGAGAAACACAATTTAAAAAAAAACAAAAACACAAAACAAAACAAAAAATAATGTGAGAGACTAATTTAGACTTTGAACCTCATTGGATAATTTAGACTACCCGAAAGGCCTACATTTATTACAATTTTAAATTTAGAATTGAAGCCTGTCCCAACAAAATATTCCTTCAACCATGAATACTTGAATAAACACGAATGTCGGAGACTTCTAAAATGCTGATAAAATCTGTACCATAACTGCAAAATTGTGAGCACTTAATCTCTTCTTCCATCTCCTCCTCTCATAAACCCTACCTAACCCGTGATTTCATCAACCCAGCCTCCTACCAGTTTCTATACCAACCATTCATTTTACTATCGCAATTACCTAACAGGCTAACACGCAATGACGGTATCTCTGCTGCAATTTCAATCAGTTCAGACACCAGAGGAGAAGGTAGCAGCTTTTTGCCAGTCCCTTAAGCTACACAATACATAAAGCTATCAATGCGTCTTGAATTGAAATTGAAAGCACTTCAGAAAGGCTGATCACAACTACTTAAGCAAAAGCACGCACTCCTGCACTATGGCAGTCCCTTAAGCTAGGCAATACATAAACTGACAATGTGCCTTGAACCGAAATAGAAAGCACTTCCCAAAGGCTGATCACAGTTACTTATGCAAAAACATGCATTCGCGTGACATGCGACCGTATATTCACACCCAAATCACACCAATCTTATGTGTGAACCAAACACATCAATCCTCAACTTGCTATCGTTTTTAGAAATCGAACAACGGCTAATGTAAGAGGTCAAAATCAAACGCATGCCCCATGCTAAACATAAAATATAGAAAGCAAAAGAAGCTGATTCAGATCCTAATCGTACAATGCCGTAGCTCATGACCCTATAAACCCTAATCACCTGCCAAAAATTACACCAACCCAAAAATTCCCCACCCTTAACACCTTGATTTTCCATACCAAATGATATAATCCAAACCAAAGCCCCAAACACTAACAATAACAATTTCAGGTCCAATTTCACTGAAAAAATTATGAATAAATTAAGCAAAATTTCCACAAAAATTAGAACAATATCGAGAAATTTGGACTAACCCGCATGCAAGTCTTAGTCCTTTAATTTTTTTTTTTTTTTTTTCCAGAATGATCAGAGAATGCTAGGGCTTTTACTTCGGTCCTCGCACGGAAATCATGGGGCTGCAAGAAATTTTCCCAGGAAAATGAGGGACGCAAAGGGCAGGAGAAATGCGAGCCGGTGAAATTTTTGTTGCGTTTTTTGAGATTCTTTTGCTACAGTGTGATAGTGCCTGCTTCCTTGTGGGGGACCAAAACGTCATTTTGATTTCTTTTCGTTTTATGACAAGTTTGCCCTTCCCATGTCCCAACGGGCAGATGCCATTCCTTTTTTAATTACAAGGGTACAATTTGTTTTAGTACAAAGGTTGCAATTTTTTAAAATAAATAAAGAAAATAAAAACAAATTAATAGTTTGGCATTATTATACACATTTTTCTTCAATATTACATATAACTAAATGATATGAAAAATGAATAATTGAGATTGATAAAAGAAAATTTAGACAGTTGTGAAAATCAAATCTAACGGCTAACCCACTCATATGATTAACTGATAGTTTATCTGATACCTAGAGTAGTTGAAGTTTGATAAGATTCTTGAATGCATGGTAAACAATGTATGATCTTTGTGTGAAACACGTTTTAAAAATCATTTGTGAGTGTTCGTGTACAAGTAATTTTTATTTTTTTTATAGAAAATTTCGACGGTACAAATAAATTTGAAATTTTATGATATGAAAAAAAAAAAAAAAAAAAAGTTTCATGAATTGTTATGTTTGGATTAGGATTTTCAAATTTTCATGAAACTTAGCTTCCTGGAACTTTGTAGTTCGGGGCAGTAGTTTTCAAGTGAATATTAAACTTCTTGGAAATTTGAAAGGTTGAATACAAGTTTAGTTACAAGGAATACAAATTAGAATTATTTTGATTCTTCGGTTTTCAGTGTTCATTAAAATATGGGTATGAAACTTATTTCATTGCTTAACTTTCTCATGTTTATGAATCATTTCACTTTTTAACTTTCTTTCTCTATATTTACTAACATGTGATCAAAAAACAAATCAACTAGTTGATACGATTCCATTTCCTTGCCTCTTTCTAATAAGGGAATAAAATCCTCAACATGTTTTCTATAGTACAAGACTATACAAAGAGCTCTGTTTACAGGCATTGACAAAAATTTAATGGCTCAGATTGTGCCATGCATGAGCTTTACGTTTTAGCTATCAAGATGTTCAATTGGTCACCAAATTGAATTTTGACAAACCTACTAGAACCCTCTAACATTGAAATCCACCACTAAGTTAGTCTCGACACCATTTTACGCTTAAGATTCTAATGCGTCGAAGCTTTGGTGAAAGATAAAAGAGTACAAATTACATAATTTATATTTTACCCTACATTCATTAGATCAAAAGGCATTTGATAAGAATATGCATATACAAACTCCTAGCAACTACGTCAACATTAGAACTAAATGTGCTAAACCATGTCACACCCCCGCTCCATATCCCATAGCAACAAGAACACATGATGAAACTACGTTAGATAGATCCCAGAATTCATATTCTGTAACTGGTTATTCATCGTCCGATAAACAAACTACGTCAGTGTGTCCAACAATATATAGCTATACCCTCAACTTAAACTTTTGAGATGGTATTTTAGCAAGTTTGATATATAAGTTAATCAATTTTTGCCCAAAGATTTTCAATTTAAGCCTTAAGTGTAAAAGCCCGTCCCTTATTTTATGGCTTCATTAATTTTAAAAGAGTGAATTGACGAAAATGCCATTAGAGGCAAGATTGTTGACTTTTGTTAACAATCATTTTGTGACGCGTATGAGCTACTATTTTACTGTATTCATATAGTCTTCATTTCTACGAATGCGTGGGCGCAAGCGAAATCGAACTCAAAGTTACGGTTAAAATTTTACAAAGCATCGAATGCCGAGGGCAAATTGGTAATTTCATTTGGAGAGATATTGTGTGTTGTTTTGTGAGCCAACGTGGCCCACGCCCATTCCTCTTCGCCCCCATTTCTTCAAATTCCCACTCATTTTCTACCACGTCACCTTACTCCATTCTCTCTCAAACTCTCCCTCATCTCTTTTCCCTCTCATCTTTCTCACTCTGTTAGCTCTCTTCCCATCTCGGATGCACGCCATGATTGAGCCCAATAACCATCACCTTGCCCACTCCGACAAGTCTCAACCACTAGCCTCGAAGTTGGTCACCACCATCACATCACCTAACATGCTCAGGACATTGGGTTAATGGATTCAAACTGTGCAGTGCCCATTGCCACTAGTCATTGTCTTCTCCAGCGAACTTTTGCCGATGCTGACCTAGGTAAGCTTTGGAAATACTCAAAACCTTATCCTTTTCTCCTCATGATTCGATTCTGAGTGTGTTTGTGTGTTTTTGGACGATGGAGTATCACAGAAACGACGAAAGGAGACTTCCCTAGTTTTCCTGCGAGAACCACGATTTTTGTAGGTTTTTTTGACCAACTCCGGCCACGGCTAAAGCCCAAATGGGTATATTTTGAATCTCTATCTCTTTAGCTTCATTTTGACTTTTTTTTCATTGAAAATGGTTGAGTTTTGAACCTATTATAGACCTTTGAAGTTTTCCGGCCTTCTCCGTGAATTTCCGGCCTTCTTCTTTGTTGGTCCAGCTGGTACATCCCACAAATCCAAACGGGTTGACCCGACCCAATACCCAAAAAAAAAAACCCGAATTTGAACCGGTCGACCCGAACCCATTTAGGAATCTGGCAGGAATATTCCGTTAACTTCCAGTTAACTTTAACAAAATATTCCATCTGAGGAGGAAATATTCCATTAAAGTTTATTGTAGACTGCTAGTTGACTTTTTTGAAATTTTCTCAGAAACCCTCATAGGCTAATGTCAATGCCCCGAGTCCGTTTTAGCATCCATTTAGTGAAATTTTAAAGTTTTAACATAGTTGACCGCCTCAGTGGCTCGGTTAACTTTTTACGGAAATTGCCCAGGACCCTTCTTAAGGTATTTCGATGCATTGAATCTGAATCCACTGTCCGTTTTTCCAAATTGAAATGTTTAAATTGAGTTTTACTAATGGGTCTATATTATGCTTAGGTATGATTAGCATTGACGATCCGTATTTACTAGTTTGAACGGCTACGACTTTGCAAGTATTTATAAGTGGGTCTTTTCTTTTATATAGTATATATATTTATTTAGTTTCCATACATATTAATAATTCATTTTCTATGTGATTCCATAATAAAATTAACGTTTATCAGAAATGTCGTAATGTTGGGAAATCATGAAATAATCTTATGGGATGCACATGTAAGCGTACTATAAGGGGATGCCTTAATTAGACTTACGAATATGAATAGTATTATGTTGATTAGAATTATTGAATTTCTGTGGCATGACCATATTTACATTATCTGCTCATTGTGTGCTACACTGGTGTTTGTACTCACCAAGGCCAGAGCTAGTCTTCACGTGTATGTTCACATCGCACCGTACGCTCACTTTAGATCTATTGTAGGTGCCAGTCCTGTCCTATATTGCTATAGGCAATTAGGACTCGTATGTGATGCACATAGCACCAGTCTTCACGTAATTGTAGTACTAGAGCGTAAATCATTATTATACCCAGTCTTGTTCATGTTAGAATATCTTTGCATGAACTCATGTGTCAGTATATGTCGATGAGCACTCGATATGATATGTTTGTTATGCGAGATATTGTGATTACCAAATGCTACATGTTTTATATGCGGAAATGTTGGGAATTGTTGCATTTTCAAAAATTCTCCTTCTCAACCAAAAGAGAGTAAAAATACGATTTAGTCCTTTATTTATAATCCAATAAGAAAATTAGAAACTAAAATCGGGGACACTAAAGTAGTTTCGCATATAAAAGTTTCTTTTTTTTCTTCCCTCACTTACATATCAACCAAAGCATCCCACCTCAAATCTCTTTTTAAATCCCACGTTTGTTTCTCTCCTCTCCCACATTTCTCTTCACATTTGTTCCCATAACTTTCAAAAAATTTCACACAATGTATGTGGGCATTTTCTATATAATTGAGGCATGCAATATCAAGTGGACCATAACTTGATCAAATATGAGTACAATCGAGAAACACTTGTTAATTTGTGTTTTTACTTTGCAGATTACAAATGGATTATGTTTGCCTTAATGACACGTTTCGACCTAGAATGTTCGTCTAGACTCCAAATTGAGCTGTGTTGACCGACACTAGAAAGGTAATGAAGACATATAGTGTAGTGATGTAAAAAATATGAATAAATTTAAACCTAAAAGCGCCTAAATGCAAAAGTGTGCATGTTGGCGGGATTGAACCCAATTCACACGTGATGTCAAAGTATAAGTAAAGTACAGTAAAAGTAGGATAAGAATTATACCATCAAAGGTACTCTCTTATACCAACATTTGCCAAGAATCCTCGTTGACACAGAAGCTCTGCCACTAAAACTTAGAGGGGCGAAAAACAAGGGTGAGTAGGTTTGAAAATAAAATTTTATAAAACCTTTTCGAAAACGTAATAACCCATTTCCGTAAAACAAGTATAGTTTCCAAACATAATATACTACATATAATAAGAAAACACTTACCATAAACGGTGTTAATAGGTAGTATAAATATGAAGTCACTCGGTATAGAAAGATCGAGTTGGAATGTTGATGTTTATTTTGGAGCTGCTTAAGACTTTGAAGATTTGAGAATGTTTTGAGATGCATTGCTGAAGTAGGGTTTGTTGAATTTTAAAATTTTTAATTTTAATTGTGTCTACTCAATGGTAAATGTATAGTAGGATAGACCAATTCATATTAATATTTCAAATTGGGTGCAAAGATACAAAACATGGGTTTGAATAAAATTGTTCTTTTGTAAACAACATCATTGTGTTTCCCAATTTTAGGTTATAATATCAATAAACACTCACCAATTTATACACATGTGGACATATTATACCACATGATTATTGAGGGTTTAATCTTATATTATACAACAAGTTGGAGAATAAAGTCCCACTTCATAAATATAACAAAATAATATATAGAGTAGATTATTTTTTCGACATGTTATGGGCCTAATTTACTAGGTTTGAATTTGCTTTCTTAAGTTGGTTTTTGAAAAGTTGGGCTAACTCCAACTAAGGGTGTTGAATAAATGATTGAGTCTTCGAAAAATTG